AACACAACGCTGCTTTTGAAGGATACCTGGTTGAAATGCAAGCAAAGGAAGTGCAGAAATCGAAAAAACTCAACCTAGCGAACTAAAGTGAAGGAAAATTATTAAGTTACATCCAGAGAAACCGACAGCAAGAGAATCAAGAATTAGACAACCACCTGCACCTTCCACCGTGCGTAAATCAGAGGCAAACAGATCTAAATCCATGGCATAAAAGAGATAAATGACAATACGCTTATTGTTGATTAAATCTCTTTTGTGGCCTTCATGTGCAAAACTATAAATTTGTCAATTCAACAAAAGAGGAAAAGGGAGAGAATAAAGATAATTGTAGAGGGAGCCGTGGAGATACTTGGGATCAAAGAAGTTATGGTGGATCTGATTCATAAGATGTTAGGTAGTAGAATTTAGGGAGGGAGAGATCTTTAATTTGTCTTAATGATGGAAGAGGTAGCAGGGTAGATGCTACTCGAAATGCAGTGTCTGGCTTAGATCTTTGTCTCAAGAATTTGTCTGAATGGAATATAATGAATTAATCACTTTCCTATATGGTGCTTAGTAAATTGTATCTTTACTCAAAAGGGTAATATAATAGAAATATGGTCTTTTCCTAAAGGTAACTAGAAAAAAATTGAAGAATGTTGTAGGAAGTCATGTCAAAACAAATAAGAGAGCATGTAGTAATGGAAATATCCCTGATATTGTATAGAAGATGACTGGGAATATATGTGCAATTTTGCTGGGGGCAACAGTGGAGCAGATATGATTGCAAAGAGAGCACTAAAACTAGAAGAAGAAGAGATATCGAACATTCCTTTTCGGAAAGGGGTAATGTAGAGACTACACTCTTGGCGGCAACAACTGCCATCAAGCGTTTGTGATAACTGGCCATGAGTCTTTCACCAGACCATTACACTACACCCACCATGTGTGGTTGTCGGTATCAGGTGGTTTTTATGGAATGCTGTGTTACTTTTATACCAGATGCACACCGTCCAAAAAGTTGCACGTTGTGCTCAGTCCCCAGAATATTTGCCAAAAAATCTTGGGGATCTTTAAGGTGTTATTTTAAGTGTTTTGAGATATTTTAGCCACACTTTTTTATTTAAGTGATTTAAGCAAGGCTGTGGCTAGTTAAAACTCAGCTTACTCAAATAATGTGATTAATCATAGTTTTTTCATGATTTAGAGAGGGGATCAATACCTTTTTCACGTACGGCCTTTTATGCATCCACTCGGGTTGTCTGTGTGAGAATATTCAAAAGAAATAACTACGGGTCAAATACTTTTTTCTAGCACTGTAGATATCACAATTAAACTAAATTAAATTAAAGTAAAACTTAAAGTTGTATTTGGGATGTTGTTTTCTTCGACAAGTCCGAAAGAACAACTGTATAAATTACTATTGTTATAACCCAGCTCCTAGACTTTGACAAATATGGAGTGGACACACGGGAGGGTGGTAAATTAAAAGTGCTTATTATACCCGAGTAAAGAAATAGATAACTGAATGCTTGCATGATGAAGTCTTGAGTGTTGTCAGCAGAACGGCTGAGCCCACAGACATTTTCAGTACTTCTCAGGTTTGAACTTCGAGCTGCTTTTATAAAAATCAAAAGTGATGATTTTTACACCCTCAGATTATTTCCCAAATGTCACTATGAGTGCTGAAGCTACAGATTTTTAATTTGACAATTTTTTCTAAATTTGAGAATAAATTTACAGTGGGGACACTAAGAATTTTAACCCCTGCCGATTTCGCAAGTTTGGCCACTTGCAAAGAAATGTGTGATCTATAATTAAAATGGTAGGTGTATTTCAAGAGTAAGAAACAGAATATCAACAAAAAAAATCCAGAAAATTACATTTTATAACATTTATGACCTTATTTGCATTTGATGCAGAAAATAAGTATTTGAACCCCCAAGCAAAACATTACTTAATACTTGGTGGAAAGCACAGACGTTTCTTGTAGTTGGTCACCAGGTTTATACACAACCCAGGAGGGATTTTGGTCCACTCCTCTTTGCAGATCCTCTCAAAATCCTTCAGGATGTGTTGCTGTCGCTTGGCAACGCGAAGTTTCAGCTCCCTGCATAGATTTTGTATGGGATTAAGGTCCGGAGACTGGCTAGGCCACTCCATGACCTTAATGTGCTTCTTCTTGAGCCACTCCTTTGTTGCCTTGGCTGTATGCTTTGGGTCATTGTCGTGCTGGAAGACCCACCCTTAACGCATTTTCAACTTCCTGGCTGAGGGAAGGAGGTTTTCCCCCAAGATTGCACGATACATGGCCCCATCCATAGCCCCCTGGATGCGGTGGAGTAGTCCTGTACCTTGAGCAGAGAAACAGCCCCAAAGCATGATGTTTCCGCCATGCTTGACGGTGGGGATGGTGTTCTTGGGGTCATACTCAGCAAGCTTCCCCCTCCAAACGCGGAGAGTCGAGTTTATGCCAAAGAGCTTGATTTTGGTCTCATCTGACCACATCACGTTCTCTCAATCCTCCTTGGAATCATTAAGGTGTTCATTGGAAAACTTCAGACGGCCCTGTATATGCGCCTTCTTAAGCAGGGGGACCTTGCACGCACTGCAGGACTTCAAATCATTACGGCGCAGTGTGTTTCCAATAGTTTGCTTGGTGACTGTGGTCCCAGCTGTCTTGAGATAATCAACAAGCTCATCAAGCTGCTTTCCGATGCTTTTGTAGCTCATTCCATTCTTGTGCAGGTCTACAATTTTGTCTCTGCTGTCCTTGGGCAACTCTTTGGTCTTGCCCATGGTGGTGAGGTTGAAGGTGTGAAGTATGATTCTTTGGAAAGGTTTCTTTTATTCACATCACCTATTGAGCTCAGGTGTACCTTGATAGGCCTAATGAGGACTAATCTGTGTGCTTCTGGGCACATAACTGGTCATTAGGAGCCAGAATTCTTGCTGTTTGCTTGGGGGTTCAAATACTTATTTTCTGAATCAAATGCAAATAAAGTCAAAAATGTTATAAAATGCAGTTTTCTGGATTTTTTTGTTGTTATTCGGTTTCTCACTGTTAAAATACACCTACCATTATAATTATAGATGACATTTCTTTGCAAGTGGCCAAACTTGAAAAATCAGCAGGGGTTCAAATACTTATTTTCCCCGCTGTAAATGCCTAAAAAAATAAACATTTTTTAAACTGAGTAATGCCCAGTTCACACTAAGCGACTGTCTCAGAAGGTCTCCTTGAATACCCTCTGGAGATGGGCGGTTTCATGCATAAATGGGTGTGAATAGGTGAAAGGTGTAAAAGTGCTTTCAGTGGTCGGACATCTAGAAAGACTACACGTACAAAGCCATTTAACAATTACACTACACAACTTGAACCCCAAACCTCCTCAAACAAGTTGGCAAGGTCACCGCAGCTACGCACTCCAGCGCTGTGTGGTAACTGTTCAAGTATAGCTGTCAAAGTTAACGTGTTAATCTATATATATATATATATATATATATATCTAGATTATTGTGGCGGAGATTAATACAATTAAATATTTTAATACCGTTAACACAACTTTGTTTACTTCTGGTGTCCGTTGACCCCTGAAACCGAGAAGATGAAGCAAGCTCTTTGCATTAAAAGTAAAACAAACAGAAGATCTGTGCAGAGGAATTCCTCCACGTGTCGAGAAGCGGGATGAGTGGCAAACGAACCACTTTAGGCTAACCCCCTAACCCTAACCTGGTAGAATTTTGCCTTGGAGATGATCAATGTATGTAGGTTTGTTTAAAAAACAAACAATTAAACCGTGTCTAAAATACAATCTTTCTAAAGTGATTACTTCTTAAGAATTAAGACTTAGCAATGAATTTCAAAATAGATTAATTTTTTTTATACCCTGATGTTCATCAAGAATGAGTTCAAACTTAAAATCTTTCCACAGCTACAATTGTAAGGTGATTTTGATCCATGGCTCACAGGGTGGCCTTGCAGAGCTCAATGAAATTAGCCAAATGGTGATACTCCAAGACAAGTATATGTCACCACTTCAACGGATCTTGCTGATAAATTTCAATACATGTTAAAATGTTAAATGTTCTGTTAAAATGAGCCAAAAAGCCTTCCTGTGCAGTCTGGCGCTTCTGCCTCCTCATGGTGCGACCCGTCGCTCTAAAATGTGTAATGCCCTAACACCTAAGAGAAAAGACCTGTTGTGGTGGTGTAATAACCGTTGCTTGACCCTGCGCATCAAACAAAAATCACAGATTTTGGAAAGCAGTACGGCAGACAATTTGTCTCATTAAACCACTTTTTGGAGTTTCTGATCCTAGAAGGATAACAGAAGTTATTTAATTCAATATAGATCACCTAAAATGTATCCTAAACATGAAGAAAATAGTATCAACAACCTTCATTATTCTATAGACCATTTGATGAATACATTTTCTTTTACGGCAAATATTTAATTTGGGGTCAGAATGACTCCAGGACAACAAGTGTTCTTTTGACAAAACCTTTGGTTGAGAGACCAGATGTACTCATTGAGAATTTCTCCTGATGGAAGATCATATAAAGTGTGGAACCCCTGTCGCTGTCAGCCATGTAGTGGGAAAACAAAGACTTATACAGTAAATAACAAGATAGCAGGATGTGTGGCAGAAACAGTGAAGGGATCGGATTTCTTTTCTACTGAGTCACGTAGTATGAACATGCCTGGAAGCTAGATTTACGCCAAATAAGGTGTGGTAGCACAGGTTTCTGTTTTGTTGTTAAAGTGTCGCTTTTGAATAGCCCTGATAAGCTGTCTTTTTTCTCATTGCTGGTTTGTACTCTTAATACTCGATTGGCCATCGCAGCATGATATTGGGCCGCATTTTTCTTGAACTTCTTCGCTGCAGCAGATTTTTTCAACATCTTTTTCATTTGACGCACAACCTACCTACCTACCTTCAAATTAATAGACTTGCCTTTTCAAATCTGATTTGGTATATATACATTTAAAATATAAAATTCCATCCTGCAGACATTATTCAAGTCAGAGAAAAAATTATGTTTCTTTTATTTCATGCAGACATTGCTGGTGCTATTCAAGGTTACCACAGTGGGACATTGCTACCAAAATCAACAAAAATTCTTGTGAAGCGTTCACAGAAATGTCCATGGTTCTCAGTTAATTAGTCAAGCAGGTTAGTAACTTAACCAACTTAAAATCTCAAAACATGTTAAGTAAGTTTGAAGTATTGTAAGCAGTAGCTAATGATTGGTTGTTTAGCTTGGAGGTGGTTGTGATTCCCAGCAAGTGCTTTACACCTGCACATTCTAGTCACTGGCAAAAACACCAGCCAGTAACCACTTGGAGGTCCTGTACAGGTTTTTCCCCATAGATTTATCTGAAGCATTGGAGATGTAGAGGAGTTTAAGGCAGAACCCTGTGTGGCCTCACTCTCCCTTGAAGTGAGGACGCCTCTTCTCCTTGAAGGCAGATAAACCCTCCAATCGATCTTTTGTTGGTATCACCTGAAAAACAACACAAATCCTTGAGTGAGTGATGACGACACCTGGGTTTGCAAGTTGATTGGGTATTATCAGTTGCAATGTGTCCATTGTCGTTATCAGCCCTACAAAGCAGACATTTGAAGTCACGGTCTGTGGCTTTTCCGAGGGAGATTTACACATTAATGCACAATGTTTCCGCACAAGTATTGTAAAGTTCACACGGAAACTACAAAACGCACAAATGCATAAGTGTTCTCCAGCGTTACAGGGAGTTCAGCCACTAGCAGAGCTACTGGCGTAGAGACAATGAAACAGAGGAAATTAGTAAAAGACGTGTTTTGACCAAATTTAACGACCAATAATCTAGGAAACTTTTACTTGCAAGTGTTCATTTTCAAGTTAATTATGTTTGTTTGAGAAAGAGAGCGCAAGATTTGCAGCCTTGTAAATTTACAAAATAAAACTTGTCCACCGGAGTATAATGAAGATTAGAATAGGATCAAGACCAACCTTATATTATTAAAAGGAGAACTAATATTTGTATTTTCTGTTACTAAATAACCAATATACCCCACGATTACAGCAGCACCCTAACTCCCAATAGTTGTGTAAACGCGAATAGTCATGCGATCATCGTTTCCAGGCGTGTTAGCTATTTCAAAGCAGTCATCAAAGCAAAGGGAGCTACTTTGAAGAATCAAAAATACAAAGCATAATAATTCTGGTTTGTTGCGCTTTTTTTGTTTGTTTACCACATAATTCCATACGTGTTCCTTCATAGCTTTGATGTCTTCAATATTAAATCGACAATGTAGAAAAAAAACCTAAAATGAAGGGAAACCATTGAACGAGTCCAAACTGATACTGTAGGTACAGTTATGGATTCGTACCTCAATCTGCACAGCCATATAAAGACAGTTACAAAATCATCCCATTATCACCTGAAGAATATAAAGGAGTAAAGACTTATTTCTCAAAAAGATTTGGAAAAACCATGTCGCCTGAATTTATCTTTAGTAGTGGACTACTGTAATTGTGTGTTCACAGGCTTCTATAAAAAGCTGAACGAGAACGCTGCAGCTCGAGTTCTCACTAAGACTAAGCAAGTATCACATCACGCGACTTCTGAGGTCTACACTCCTGCTGTTAGTTTATAAAGCTCTGAACCATCCCGACCCTGCAGGACGTCTGGGATGGTTCTCTTTCCTGTTCCCAGAGTCAGAATCAAACATGGAGAACCAGCTTAAGTTCTGCTTCACATATCTGGAACAAACTCCCAGAAAGCTGCAGGTTTGCAGAGACTCTCAGGAGATCCAAATTAAGAGTGAAGACTTTTCGGTTTGCGGTCTTTAATTGAATCAGATTCAAAAGGCAAAGTGGATTGTCACAAATTCTCCATCTTATTAGTTTTTCTCCTGCCTGCCTGCTTGCTTGCTTGTCAATTAACTCTACTGCCATTCCAGATCCTGTCATCAACAAGAGATCATCTCATTGTCTTCACCTGGTCCTCATGCCCTTCCCACCTGCAGCCCATTCCCTCATTAGCCCCTCACTATTTCGGATCCCACACTTCCACTTGCCCTCTGCCAGATTGTCTTGTGTGTATGCAAAGTTTTTTAGCGTTTCTCGATTAACCTGATATCCCGTCCTGACGTAGCCTGCCTTTTTGACTACAAACTCTCCGCCTGCCCCTTATTGGATTTGTTCACCTGTGATTGCCATCCTGGTTCTGAACCCTTTCTATTCTCGTTTACGGATTCCCTGCCTGCCCCACTGGATTTGTTTGCCTGTTGGACTGATATCCTGGTTTTGACCCTGCCTGAATTAGTAAAGAACTTTGATTGGATTTCTGTTTGAGTTGTGCTTTTGCGTTCCAATACCTGTAACCCTCTACAGGATGCTTTTTTTATAATATACAATTTCATCAACTGCACTGCAACCTTTTCTTTGTCTGTTTTACTTTTTACTGTGTTTTATGTAAATGGCGTGATAGGATAACCTTGTGTTAGAAAAAATGCAAGAATGTTTCACCTTAGTGGGTATTACTTAGACAGAAAGTCTGTGCTATTTCACACATGGACCATCTGATAATCAAGATGTTTGTGCGTCAATGTTTATAATCTCCAAAGACGACCATCTACATCCAAGGTCAACTACCAGCACTTGGTCCCCTCCCCTGTTTTAGCAGGTTTATCTTCAGTCTATATATTCCCGGTCCGAAGAAGACCTTTGAGTAGCCATGACACATGACTAGAATGCATGTCAATTTGGCCTTCTGTTTGCAACAATATTCAGTAAAATGTCTACTACAGTACACTTGGAAATGTTGACATAATTTGAAATACCCCTTCCCATTCTTCGAACCTGTTAGAGGAAGTTCTATTTGAATCACTTACCTGGGCATAACAAGCTTCTTCTATTGCCAGACCTGTAGATAAATCCACCTGAAAGAAAATGTGGCATCTCTTAGTGTATCAACAGTGTTGCGAGAGTAAGTGATCAGAGTATTTGCAATCGAAGAGGAGAGTGGCATCGTTTTCGGAGTTTCAATTGGCACAACGTCCTCAGTTCACCTTTAATCACAAAGCAATATACTTAAATAATATGTTTAAAGCCATTGCTCACATGCTGAATTCACTAAAGACTGCAAGATTATACCAGACATACAGATGTCGTAAATGAATTAAATTTGTTTGCTAGGTTTTCTTATATTGCCCAGTAGAATCACATATTGGATAATCACTGCACTACACAAAAAGGACGGAAGAAAAGTAGTCTGGTCATTTCTGCGAACATGGAACATGCTGTTCTAAGAATGGGTTGAAAAATTAAATCAGACCGCGTTGGGTGATATCATTAATTACAGCAAGAAGATTTAAGACACTGGAAGGGTTGAACAGCCATCTCTCCAACTATGGCCTTTATGATATCCAATAAACCTGGTGGACTGCTCTTTTAAATTACATACAAATTCTACAGCTACAAAGTCACACCCACTAAGCATGGTAGAAATCAGGACTCAGGATTAAGCAAGCCGGGTGGGTTGCCGGGCCCTTACTCCCCCCTCCTGACCACTAATTAATGCAATATTTTCAGCGTGGAATAGAAAGGTGTATGAGAAGTTCCTATGAGTGGGCACCCTCATCCATCAGGTCATCACGCTTGTGATTACCGACCAGCAATGCAATGGTGGTGGTGAAGACAACATATGTTCATATTGATATTTTTACCTACTGATACACGGTTGTAAAAACTGAGCTACGGTGACCATCAAATATGGTAAAAGCAGTCCTGGACTGACCAATAATACTCACCTCTGTCCCCTGGTTGATTGCCAGTTTTGCCATCCTTATTGCAATTGGACCCTGTGCAGCCAAAGGGTGTTGAAAAGTAGTTAAATAATGTTCTGTCTTAGTCACAGTAATTGAAGCTATGTTATGTTCCCATAGAGTCTGTGACCTGACATGCAACAGTTCTCTAAACAGATATCCTGTTTAGAATACATCGTATCATGGAGAAAAACTAGAAGATGCATTTCCTGCAGAAAATGCATCGGAATGCTTTAGATTAAAGCTGAAATAAAGTTTAAAGATTGCTGAAAATACAGAAATTAATATCAGTAAATTACTGAAAATACAGAAGCTGAAATGAGTTTAAAAAAATTGCTAAGAAATACAGACTATATGAAGCAACATTCCAACAATAAGGAACAAATGGCACCCTCCAAAAAGAGATAAGTGGACAGCGAAAGTAGAGCATTTAATTCAGAATGGACAGACTCGTTGTTCATCTTGAATGCTTTGAAGGATTCCAAGTATTGTTCTTCTAAGCTTTATTCCGCTCTTTAATATTGTTGGAAGATTGCTATTGACACTGTTCAAATTTTAGAATAGTCAGCTCATTCAGATGATTTGATTATTTGTAGCACAGCTCGCTCGGAGCGTCCAATGTTGGTACTGTAAATTATTATAACCCATTTGACTGCAGTATGACTTATGTACCTTATAATCCGGTGCGTCCTATATATGAACATTTTCTAAAATAGGTCATTCATTGAAGGTGTGCCTTATAATCCGGTGCGCCTTATAGTGCGAAAAATATGGTACAAATACTACTATGACTAATAGTATTGCTGATACTAGTACTACAACAAACACTACTACTATTTTTTCTACTGCTATTGATACTAAACCTACTATTACTTGTACTGCTAGCACTAATAGTACCACACGTACAACTATAATACTACTACTACAAATATTACTACAAAAAATACATTTTTTTAAATTCTCCTCTGCGTTTGTTATTTCTTTTTTTCCAAATTCATTTCAGTTTCTACGTTTTGTGTATTTTCAGCAGCTTTTTAAAATTAATTCAGCTACTGCAACTTCTGTATTTAACAATTCTTTAAAATAACAGCAATGTTTTAAAATTCATTTCTGTATTTTCTTGCAATTTTTGAAATTCATTTTCAGCTTTTCTCATTTCTGCATTTTCAGTAAATCTATTAAAATGTCTGCATTTTCAAATTAATTTCAGCTTTTAGCATTCCAAAGCATTTTCTGCAGGTAATGCATTTTCTAGTTTAATTTATGGTCTTATTTTGAAATGCAGACTTTTACTTAGTTAATCAGACATTTAAATATTTGCAGTCACACATACAGTACATGTTCAGTTCTTTGTTAACATAATATAGTGTACGTTTTTGAATTGATTTCATACAGATGCGGGCAACTCTATCACTATATAATCACATTAAATATTTACATAATGACCTTCCAGACCTTTGCTTCCAGAAGTTCTCTAATTGAATTTGATTTACATTTAGTTGAATACCGCTGATCTAAAATATAAAAGCCGGAGACTCCGTCAGACCTCTGAGCAGTAACTTGATGCACAACTTTCATGCGATTCAACTCTGTTCCTTTCTGGCAAGAAAGAAATATCCTGTTAAATGATTTTACACCCAGTCTCAAGTACAACCTTTCTAACAGTTACAAGGATGAAAGTTTTTTTGTGAATTGTTTTGAATAAATTATTATTATTATTATTAATAATAATTTGTACTAACTATTCAACAGCTAAAATGCATATAATCTAGTTTGGCCATGACATTCACCACAGTTTTGTTTTCCCCTCAGTGTATGTATTTCCTTAATAAAAGGTTTGCTTGTCAGTGTTACCTGTGGGTTGATCTCACGAGCAAGCTCTAGTGCCCGCAGGTAGGCAGCATCTCCACTCTTATTCTGTTCTACCGAATGACTGGCAAGACCAAGGCGACATGCCTCAGTACCATCCACCACCCGGGCAGCAAAGATGAGCTCCTTCGCAAGAGAGACACCAATCACCCTGGGGAGACGCTGTGTACCACCTACACAGAAATGAAGACAAACCAGGATAGAACACAGATTAATCACAGTAATTCGGGAGACAGAGCGCATAGTGGATAATGTCTGTGTCCGAGCGCCCTGCTCCATTCAGCTTGTTAGTTAGGTGATGTGCTGGTCGCACAACATTTGGCCACAGCTAGCTAACTAGCTAGAAATTACCAAACTTCTTTGGAGAAGTTTGGGAATTTTGTCTTGGTCTGAGTATCTGACTTTGGAATCGTACAGACTGACAACATACGGACATGCGCATGTACTCAGTCTCAGGCTGGATTTGAATCGTCAAATTTGCTTAAGAAGGCTCCTAACAGAGTGAAATGACCCGGAAGTTGTGTAAGTGGTCGCCATGATAAGAGCTGTTCAAAATCTCTAATGCTAAGGAAAGGAGCTTCAATGCTTCCCGACTTAGCTCCTTTAGCATAGCCACTGGACCATCCATTTGGTAAAGAAAGGAAATAATTCCATTGATTGAACCGGTTTGTTCATGTCGTCTGCATGACTGAGAATTCCTGTTTCCTCTCCAAGCTTTATGTGTTTTTTCATCTTTAATCTGCCAGAGAGCCCTCAAACAGATAGCGATTTGACAATGGGACAGCCCTAAACCCCCACAGAGTTAGCGGGAGGGCACCTCAAAGTGTGGCTGTAACGGTGGAGATTAGGATTGGGCATTCGTCTCTCCACCTTCACAGACTATAGATATAAGCTATAGTGCAGTATGACCCATGATTAGCTATTCAGCCCTCTCTCAGAAAGACATCTTGCAATTCCCTCACTTTCTCTCCATCTTGAATCTAAAAGTAATTCTGCACGCAACGGATAACAGAGCTCTTTTTACTTTTGTAAAAAAAACTAATTAAAAAAAAAAAAAAAAAACTTTGGGGAGTTTGTCTTGGTCCAGAACCAACACCTTGTCCTGGTAGATTGTCAAATGTGACCCATGAATGCCAAAGGACCCGGTTTGAGGTGCGCCAAGGAGTTAGGCTAGGATCCCTTTACCTCCTACTTACCCTTGAAGTGTAGACGAAACATGTTCTTACTGGAGGATAAGAAAAATAAAGCCTTACCTGCTCCAGGAATAATCGCAAGTTTGGTCTCAACTAGTCCCATTCTCGCAGTATTGGCTGGGGAGATCAAAGGAGCAGTATTACTACTCAGAATAATTACTAATACTCCTCTACTACTTGATTATAAATGTATTAGGATTTAAAAATGAATAAACCATCTACATCAAGACACATTATCCATCAACAATGGGTTTCTAAGCACACAAGAGTGCTTTTGTGGCCTTCACAAGCCAGAAACACATTAATCTATAGACACTAAAGTATCATCTGTAATGTATTTGGAAACAAGTTGTGACACTGGCAAATTCAGCACTAAATTTACTTGCAGTCATAAATGACCTTTTTTAAAACACTCAAAAGCACTTTAAACTACTTGTTAACATCCATCGATTTAGAGTTTAGTACTAATTAAACGGTTACCCGCTCTACTTCTGAGCCACAGTCGCAGATTACTTTAGGTATGAAGTTGTACGAAGCTGTAGAAGACATTTTATTATTATTTAAAACTAATGAAACCAAGGGTCTCGGTTCTGATGGAGCTGTGCTGACCTCTCAAAGCTCCTGGACCTTAGTAGGCTTTACTGATCCAACAAGAATTCTGTAGCATGCTCAGTTGTGGTGGTGACTCATGAAATCAGTTATTAGCTTGGGTGGTAGACTATGGGGCGTCGTTTGTAAAATGTCATAAATTCTAAAATTTTGCTCAGTTTTGGTACATTCAGCATTATCAGATGAAGAAAAAAAACAATGTTAATAAGTCACTTTTTCAAAGATTTAGAGAAATTCATGTAAATACATGCAATAACCTTTCCAAGGATAATGTTTGGCAGAAACAAAGTTGCTAAATAATCTAAATGTAAATGTTGACTATAAATGTAAATATAACCGTAAATACTGTAATGTTCAGTCGTCAAGTCTGACACGTACACTAAACATTTACAATTTGTATTTACATTTAAAACTTGTATTTAACATTTACATTTAGATTAAATATTTATATTATTTAACAACTTTGTTGTCACATGGAGGAGTGGCAGGAAGCAGGACTCAAATGCAGAGTAAGAACTTTTGAAATAAAAATCAAAAAATCAAAAGCAAAAATGCCGAGGGGAAAAAACGCAGACAAGACAGGGACCAGGAAAACACAAGAAAAAGGTTCAGGGTAGGACATTCAATGACGACATTCGAGAAGAACACCCAGTAAGACATACATTCAATGACGCGACCAGGGACAAGAGACACACATTGCTTAAATACACTGAAGGTGCAGGTGATTGGGCACAGGTGTAAACAATCATGGACATGGCAGACAATCACAGGGGATGACAGTACAAGGCAGGAAGTGAAGCTAACCCAGGGACACAAGAGGCATGAAACTACAAAATAAAACAGGAAATAAACCCAAACTGACATTTGTGTTACTGCCAAACATTATCTTGTAAAAGTTATTTCATGAATTTACAAAGACTTTCTCTGTAATTGTTTGAAAAAGTGACATTTCCTTTTGTGCTTGTTTTCCAATAGGATTATGCTAAATGTACCAAAACTGAGCAGGATTTTAAAACGTGCACCCCATAGTAGACAACCCACATTTAGTAATATTTCAAATAGCCTCATAATTTTTGGCTGTTGACATTAGCTTTCGCTGATCTGTTACTCTGCCAATAAACCTTCGTGCACATAGACCACTGGAAATGATCTTGGACCTTAAAATATAGTCCAGAGTCTTACAGGTAATTCTGATGTCACAAGCAAGGGCCATTTCCAAGCCTCCTCCTAAGGCCGCTCCATCAATTGCAGCAATTGTTGGTACCGGTAGGTTACCTGTAAAAAAAAAAAGAGACTGCAAAATCTATTAAGAGCCACAACATAAAATGCACTCAACATTGAGGCAAAGCAGGCTAAAAACATACATCTACAAAAACATAGCTAGCCTACAATGTTTGGCTGTATTTAAAAAAAATAAGAAATGCAATCATTGCATGACTTCTGTAAAAGACATGTCGAAATAATAAAGAGGTATAAGCATGCACCCAGTTATTTTGTAGAACACAAGTCAATGAATGTTCAATAAGGTTCATCCGGTTTTTACACTCCTTACCCAGCTCTGTGATGAGTGCTCTGGCTTTGGACACAAACGGTCCCACTTCACTCTGATGCATCTTGGACCTCTCCTTCAGGTCGGCCCCTGCACAAAGAGACAAACAATCTGCATGAAGCGGTTTCTGAAACGGAAGAAGAGGAGTGCAGCAGGTCCATCATTCAGAGCGTTGGTATCTGTCAAATCACGCCGTGGTTCCTGAATGGAAAGCTGTAAACAGAATTCACTGGATTCATTAATGCTCAGCATTTCAGGCTAACGATCTCAAAAAGGGACAGTACATATTAAATTATTCATATTTATTGGAATGGTCAAATGTCTACAAGTAAGGATGCAGCACGGACATGGAAAGACATTTAAAACGGCAGTTTCCAAAATCCCTCCAAATGCAAACAAAATGAGCAGAGATTGTACCTGCACAGAAGATCCCTGGAACCAAACTGCAAATAATGACACTACGCACTCGATTATCCTTCTTGATATCCTCCACAGCTTCAGACATCTGTAAGACAGTTGTATTTTCAAATTAAAAATACAATATCTCAAAATATAAACCCATTCTGTCTTTCAAGCAAAAGAGAAAAATTAAGACAAAATGAAAAAACTAGTGCATGAGGCAGGGCGGCACGGTGGTGTGGTGGTTAGCATAGCTTCCTCCCACAGTCCAAAGACATACTCTGGGGATCAGGTGAATTGGTAGATGTGTAAATGTGAGTGTGAATGGTTGTATGTCTGTGTTAACCTTGCGATTGGCTGGCGACCAATCCAGGGTGTACACTGTATCGCCCGAAGGTGGCTGGGATAGACTCCAGCCCCCCCCCCGCGACCCTGTGTGCAGGATAAGCGGTTTGCAGATGGATGGATGGATAGTGCATGAGGACAGTTAAAAAACACAGGGACATTTTGTTTTTGTTTTTTTAATAACGATAGTGTCAGTTAATTGATTATGATAGGGTCAGTAAATGAAAAAGATAGACGGCTATACATACCATTTTGACCAGATTTTTGCTTATGGAATTTTTCGCTTTTGGTCGATTTATCCCAACAACAACAATACCTGAAAGACACAATGCCATCATGGAGATTACCATTGACATAGACTAATGTTAATGTAGAGTAGCATGTTGGGTATAATCTCATAACATAAAACATGACCTCACAATACAAGAAATATTTTTTGTCCACAAGGTTGGAAATATATTTCCAGCATCTTCTACCCAAGGCCACATATAAAGTGAAATGTGGTGTCACAACAGCATCTTATACGGTCATTTTGTCACTTAAAATCACTAACATTTTTTAGTTTTTACAATATCATAATGAAATACCTAAAACAATAAATTATTGAGACATGAAACCGGCCATGTTAACGTTGAATCATTTGAATTGTCTGGAGTGTTCCTGGACCCGTTTCACTAGCATTCAGAACATGTTCATATTCAGGAAAACTGATTTACCATGCAGGTTGATCTTAGGTCTGCACCTTAACACATGAACACAGATGCTCTACGGGCAGTACTTGAGTCCCTTTGTACGAAGGAACTGAAGTCCTGTGTGCCGGCATCTGCAGATACTCGGTCAAGTGAGCCGCCGCTTGTAAGATAATGCACCTCTATCCTTACACTGGCTCCCAGTATGTCAGAGAATTAATTTCAAAATCCTACTGCTCACATATAAATCACTACATGGTTTAGGGCCAAAGTATATCACTGATATGCTTCCACTACATAAGCCTTCAAGATCACTAAGATCTTCTGACACCAATCTGTTAGTGATTCCCAGAGTAAATACAAATCATGGGAAAGCATCATTTAGTTACCACGCAACAAACAGCTGGAATAAACTTCCTGAAGATGTAAGACTTGCCCCAACTCTGACCACGTTTAAAACAAGACTGAAAACTTTTATGTTCAGCTTTGCCTTCTGCTAAATTTTATCTACATTGCACTTTTAACCTCTGCCTTTAATTAAACAATTTAAATAATATTTTAATTTATAATTGTATTTGCTGTTTTTAATTGTCTTTTAATTCCTGCATTTTATTTCACTTTATTGTTTAAAATGTTATGATGTGAAGCACTTTGAGTCTGCCTTGTGTATGAAAAGCGTTATACAAATAAAATTGCCTTGCCTTGCCTCTATTCTAGGTGTTACGGTACAAGGCTCTACAGTCCAAAAGGCACGGAGATGGACCCATATTTAAGCGACGAGTAGTCCAATTTGATATGAAAATATATCAAATTAACAAAGTCAAAACAACATTATTTGGACATCATATGAAATAACATGTAACACTACTGTACTGCTTTTAATTGAAAAAAAGGTTTATATAGATTAGATATAAACATTATCAAATTATATGCAGAAAATGCATTTCCTGCAGAAAATGCGTTTGAATGCTGAAAGATAAAAGCTGCTTTTTAAATTGCTGAAAATACAGAAATGAGAAAAGCTATTACGTCCCCTCTCTCAGCAGATTCACCTGGAGCAGCTCCGCCTGAGAGACGTCAGGCAAATAGTGGGCTAGATAAAGGCTCCCTGACCCAGTGCGCTCTGTTCTCTTCGTGGTTTCTTCTTCCTGAGAACAAGCAGACCTTCTGTTTATAGTGTCTGAGTGCAGACTACCATTTTGTGGGAAGCGTGTAAGGGTTCTCTGCCATCTGTTTGTATTTTTCCTCCTGTTTTGTGGATAGACAGGGAGGTCAGTATTGTTTTTCCTTTTCATACGGTAGGCCAGAAAGACTTTGCTTTCTAGCTAGTGGGGTTGTTTATTGTTTTGGCCTTTAAGAGCCTGATGCCTTTTGCTTCCATCAATTGTAAGTCATTGACAATAAATTACATTTACTGTTGTTCAAACCTTGCTCACGCCTGTTTATCTCCATCGTCGTTACCAGCACAAGCCTGAAGAGTGAATATTGTGGCCATGAGGGCAGGATAGAAATATTTTTTTAACCAGATAAATGGCGGTAGCAGGGAGACCTGCCAGGAGGGAGTTGCAGTAGTCCAGGTGGGAGATGACAAGAGCCTGAATCCGTACCTGCGCTGCCTTCTATCTTAACGTGCAACCTCTTTCCACGTGCTCACCTGTTTGGGAACACGCTTTTACCAGCGGACAGAGCTAGCGCGCCCCCCCTAGTCCCATATAATTGTGTGAGAAACACTGCACTTTAAAGGCATTACACAGCATTGATGCAGCCAACTAGCTACCCAAACAACCACGTGGAGCCAAACATCGGCAGACTATTTTGGATGCAGCGTGCGAGAGAACTGTCGACAAACCCAAGCAAGAAAAATTTGGACAAATGGACAAAAAAAGTTTGTTAAGTTAATTTTGTCCTTGTATAACTGCATCCAGAGGTGTCAAGTAACGAAGTACAAATACTTCGTTACTGTACTTTTGGGTATCTATACTTTACTGGAGTATTTATTTTTAAGATGACTTTTTAGTTTTTTTTCACACAAATATCTGTACTTTCTATTCCTTATATTTTAAAAACAGCCTCGTTACTTCTAGCTTGTCGTAGTTCAAAAACACAAACACAAAAAACCTATCTAGATAAATGGCACTATCCGGACTGAGTGCATTTGATTGTGGTTGGATGAGAAGTATAAACATTTAGCATCCAGACACCCGGTTGGTTTTCTCCGCGATGCGCCAGCAGATCGGAGCGACACCGGGTGGGAAAAGTGGTCGGTGGAAAGTTGGTATTTAGCGACATGGACCCCCCTACTCTTCCTCACGCAGATTCCATGTAACGTTAAATGAGTATCTTCATGACCGTGGGTTTGTCCTAAATGTTTTATTGAGAGTTTGGCGCAACACAGCGACTTGCAAGTAGTGCAGCGGATTAAATAAAGGGATTTGTGTCTTAATGCGGCTTTGGAAATGAACACAAAGGGATTCTGTATTTGCTCATGAAGCCTGAAAATACTGGTTATTTGGCCAATGTTTTGATAACCAACCGCTGCCAGTTCAATGTTTCCCATCATTATAAACAGGGGTGCTTCCTTGAGTGAACTTACAGCGTTTCTCTTTTGTATGTGTTTTGAAGTTTGCGTCGCGTGTGCTCCGGTGGTTTTTGTAATTGCTGTATTTTTCTCTTGAAGCGTTTTACTGTTGGATTTGTTTTGCCGTTTGCACGTGTCGGCCACCGTATAATTGCCTGTACTTTTTCTATATTGTTCATCGGAGAAATGTGCTTTGAATTTTATACAGGTGAATCGAATGTCTGCTATTGACGATGCAATAAAAGTAGTTTGGGAAGAGTACTTTGTACTTTTACTTGTAATAGAGTACAATTTAAGCAATCTAACAGTACTTGTACTTTTCCAGTACTCTTTCCACTTCTGATGTGGTGTATATTTACTTAACTTGCACTACAATGATAATAATTTAATTTAACGAATAAGCTTCAAGTGAACATGGGTGTGTGTTTTGGAGTTTGTGAGTGTCTTTTTCTGTGAGTGAAATCCCATTAAGTTTTGTGATTTCTATTTTCCTTTATTTTTTATAAATTATTATTACTATGTTCAAGGAGCAATCTGTGGACTTTGTGAAGTGTTTTTGCAATGTGAATTTGCAGTTCCATTTTAGAATAAAGGGTTGGAAATTAACTATTTTTAATGCTGTTTTTTATCAGATTCAATCGATTAATCACAGAAATAATCGACTAATTAATTGATTATCAAAAAGAATCGTTAGTTGCAGCCCTAGGATTCACAATTGCAAAGTCTGTCAAAGAACCCGCTATAAGCTCTTGCATTTTTCAAAGATGTCCTGATTTACTTTTTTAAATGTACAAATGTTAGACGTTTACGTTTCAGAATCTTTCATTAGAGTACAAGAAAATATCTGTAAATTTGTAGTCATAAAAAGGTATTGTCTTTAGTCTGGAATTATTGGGAAAAGTATTTTTAATACAGTTCAAATATTGAGAAAATCTTTTTCAATATATCCTTATGAGACTTTTAGTTTGGAGAATACTCAAAATTACTTTTTTTTATTTTTCGTACAAGAGTAGTCAGAGAGGTACACATGTACATTGGTCTTTGTCTGGAATTATTGAGAAAAGTATTTTTCTTGCAGTTCAAATATGGAGAAATGGGGCTTTTACTTAATTTATCTAACGTTGTACAGTAAAAGTATTCTTTTTTGGGGGGGAAGAGTAGTCAGAATGGTCCTGAAAACACATAACGTTACTTCAGTCATTGTCCAGAATCTTTGATTAAATAGCTTTTATTCCAGTTACTTGTTTAGCACCGTAAATTTTAACATGTACGTGCACTAAAATTCAAGTGTCTGGTGAGTTGACTGCAGTCGGAAAGTTTTCAGAAAGTTTCCGCAAAGTTTCCACCCCCTTTGCAAGAATGCAGCCTTGCGAAAAAGTATCAATGCGGAGGTTTGGTGCTCTAAGCCTTTAAAAGGTAACCAGTTGTTTCAGACCACTCTGCACTAGAAGGCTTCCTCCATTCGGACGTTATTCAAGTTAAGTAAATAATGCATAGAAACATTCCATGTTGTCCCCGTGGCTCACTGCTTAGAGCAGCCGCCTTGTGGATATTTTGCTCCACAAGGTTCAATTCCAGGTCGTTCCGTTCTTTCCTTCATAATTTCTAAAATAAAAAGGTATTCGTACGTGGCTGTGATGTAGGGCTTACTCAAACAATCGTGAGAACGGATCTGATTGAAGAGCTTTTGTCTGAAGAAATGCGTAAATATGACCACTTCTACAACCCGTCATTGGCGGACTATAAGGACGCGCGGATGGCCTCTGATTCATGGAGGGAGATCTCCACAAACGTCGGTTTGCCGGTTGAGGGGAACAAAGTTGTGGAGGAAAATATGTCCGCGATGAAAAGCAGCAGTGGCGATGCACGGGGCAATAAAGTCTATGATAAATAAATAAACAAAGCAACGACTTCCACACAAAGACGTGACTCTCTAGGTCGTCTTCAACAAAACACGTTACTCCACCTGTTGTTCTGGAGGTGAATTGCTCTGCAACACGCGCAAGCCTATTTGAACGAGTGCGTCGACACGAAGGTGCGTAAAGACGCAGAAGCACGCGCCAGCCTTGAGGGGCTGGACATGGTGGTAAGTCAAACATAAGTGACGTCAGCACGCGCACTCAGCATACGCTCCCTACGTGCGTCGGGATGGCTGTTCTCCGTCGTCTCAAATTACAGCGAGTTAGCCGGGATGCTAAAGGGACTTCCTTCCTGACAACACCGACCGCTTCAACTGACACGCTGTGCAAGGACTCTGGGCGGGACTTACCGGCGTCTTCTCCGTCCAGGTGCCTGACGCGCAGGTCCTCGCTTGGGTCCGCGCTGTAGTGTCGCGCGCCGTGACCGTTAAGGCGAGAGGCGGACGAGACTTTAGCGAACGCGACATACTGTCTCGAACACGACATTGCTTGAAGCAGACCTCTGTAAGTTGCCTGCGCCGCCATGCTGAGGACCGCAGCAGTGTCACTTGACTTTCAACTTTCAACCCAGTCACGTGTCTACGTCACGTGACTTATTCACAGTCCACAGTCCACAGACAGTCCGCACACAAGAGACAAATACCATATTAATATTTGTATCGTCCACGAATTTATGTATTTTGTAACCTGATATTTTACTGTTCATCTTGTATGTTGCTGCTGGTAAAGGTGGAGCTATTATATTCATTACTATATATATTCGTAGGTAGCTTTATATATCATATATAATAATACATCCTAGTTTGTTAGTTGATTTTAACTTCATATGGATAACATTAATGTGCAGTTTAACTAGTGAGATGTTTTAAAATAAATGAAGTGGAGTAAAAGGGACAATATTTCCCCCTAAGATGGAGTGAGGTAGTACAACGTTTATTAAATTAAAATATTCAAGTCCAGTACCACAAAGAATATTCAAGTGCAGTTGCTTGACTATGTTTAATATAGTTTGTCAACGTTTTTAACACTTCTTTTGCGGAATATGTTATCGGTAAAGTGTTTAAGAACTAAAGAGATAAATGTAAACCGTGTGTGCCAGAGCACTCAGCTCTCGGTGGTGGAGGAATAACTGGGAAGAATTTTAGACTTCCAGACTTTTACTTTGTAATAACTCAAGACCCACCAGCAGCAAGATGTGACTGAAGACATTCAGTCAGAGTTCAGAGATGATGGAAAAGTCCACCAAATTACAAGCTTCATGAAAGTGTCATATTAAAATGATGAGCATCAAAAACCATCATCAGCATTAGTCAGACTAAACATTCAGTGTCTCATCTCAAATGTAAGGGAATGCATCGCTTTCCTTTATTGTGTAGAAATTGTGTTTTTAGAGCTGGATCATCTAAAAAAAATACACAGAGAAATAAACTACTCAGTTCAGTGACAGGACATTTATTGAAAACAAAAACTCAATACTTGTAATGTATTGTACATGTTTTACACATGACACCCATTGTATCTGTCCATCCCGATAGAGTGATGCTGATGTTCTCTCTAAAGTTTCTTCCTTTTTTCCCCCATGGAAGAGTTTTTCCTGTGCCGATGTGAGGGTTTTGGGACAGAGGATTTCGCATGTGTACAGACTGTAAAGCCCTCTGAGGCAAATTTGTAATTTGTTACAAAATACAATGAATTGAATTGAACCATTACAAGAAATGTTGAGAAGTGTTCAGATACAGATAGCTGGACCTCAGGCTGCTGGGCAAATCATCTCCTCACGAAAGATTGAAACTATAACAAGGCACACACTGTTCCTCTGAAATGCAACCAGGGGTATCTAAAGTCAGCCATCTTAATGTGGAGGTATGATATAATCCCCCCCATATCGCTAGAGAGTAGAGACAGACAGTTCTAGATTCCATGTCAGTTAATAACACAAGTCAAATGAATGGTTTGAGTATAATTCTGAACTCTGGAGACTTTTTATTAGTACACATTTTCTATAAATGGCTAACATTTAAGGATTAAATGTTTTAAAAAATACCCAAGAGCTTTATTAAATCCTGCTATGTTGTTGTCAGCGCCATCAGATCACAATTGTCTAGCCAGTGTGATGCACATACTAAGTGTAACCAGTGGCCGGGAAGGTTTACTGTGAATAATCAACAAAAATGATTTAAAAAAAAAAAAAACTCAAGGGCTAGTTAGCAAATGGTGAACCGGTCCAGCAAAGTGTATTTAAACGTGAGGCTAAGCTCTGGTTAAAGCCTCAAATTAGTAGCCTCAAGTTTTTTCCTCTTCTTGATCGATGTGGTCAGTAACAGTAACAAAACACAACTTGCACATGTCACATTAAACATTTTTAAGCTTCTTCAATCGCGAAAACTAAGAAAGAAAATGGACTTGTATAGCACCTTTCTAGTCTTCTGACCACTCAAAGCGCTTTAACACTACATGACATCATTCACCCATTCATACACTGATGACAGGAGAACCATACCTGCCCACTACCATCCACACACTGTAGTCGCAGCTACAGGAGCGATGTTGGGTTAAGTGTCTTGCCCAAGGACACATCGGCATGCGGGTTGGATAAGCCTGGGATCGAACCAACAACCCTCTGATTGGAGGACGACCTACTCCCCACTCGCACACAGTCGCCCACAAACGGAGGAAGCATTCCCTCCAGCAAGTTTCTTCATTTAAGGACGTAATTTAGGTAGGAATTTAATGAAGCTGTAATAAAATTATGGAGGCAAATGATGGAATCAAACAACAAATAATACAGCATAGGTGTGTGAGAGCGGAGAAACTGAGGAGTGGTGAGTACGACATCACTGTTGTATTGACAGAATTAGTGCAGCGGAATTGTACAGTGGACTCAATTGGCCATGTTAACTCTTACAGTACAGCTTGACCTCCATGAGTGAACAACAGCTATTATCTGAACACCTTATTGTCTGTAATCAAAACATTGTTGTACAACAAATACAGTGGAAATGCAAAATAATACAAAAAAAGTCATGCAGAGAAACCTCCTGCGGCTAATGACTCATGTCACAGACCGGCGGGGCCCTGTGTTAGAATCTGCCATGGTTGTATTAGAGGTGGGGCTCTGTGCTGCTCCTATGCCACTGCTCTGACTGGTGGGTCCAGTCTTGCATGTTGGTGACCTGTAAGGACAAAGGGCAGGGGGGGGAGTAAGAGTTCAGGGTGGCCCAACAGCATCCTCCCTCTGAACCTCTGCCGGGTGAGGAGGACTTCCCAGAGGACTCGTATTCAGCGTCAACAGCCTCCACTTTGATTGGGACGCTCCTGACTTTGATCCTCAGTTTATGGGGCAAAGCTGAAGAACTGGCGTCTGGCACTTTGTGTGTGGAGACGATTACGCTTCTCGGGTCAGTTAGAGACGGCGCCAACCCTTTGGGGACCTGCTGCTCGTCATCGCAATCTGATGATTTGCTCACAGCCCCGTCGTCTGAGCTCCTGGGAGAGTTACTGGCCGACCTGGAGAGCTGCAGGAGTGAAGCCGGCTGGGAGTAGACTTCAGGCAAAGGGCTGGCCATGTAGCTCCTGTACAGTTCGCAGGGACTGCTTCTCTCTTGTTCGTAGTTGCTGTGCGCTGCTGGTTCCTGCTTGACACCTGCAGTCCTGCACATACCAGAGCTTCTGTGAGTTGCTGTATAAGTCTCAGGCATGTGAGGCGAATGCTTGATAACTGATATGCAGCTGCTGCGCAAGTGATGAGGCTCCAAACCGCTGCTGGAAGAACTTTGGCCGGCATTGTGTGGAACAAACTCCTGGTAGAGGTTGCGATTGGCGGAGCTGGATGAATTCTGTAGTTTTTCGGTGTACGCCGCCAAGTTCACAAGGCCAAACTTCAGCTTCAGTGATAGCAGCTCAGACTTGAGACAGGCGTTTTCTTCTCCGAGGGCCATCAGCTTGTTCTCAAGAAACATGTCATTTATGCGGCGCTTCTCCCTGGAGCGTTTGGCCGCCTCGTTGTTTTTGTGACGCCTCTCCCAGTACAGGTTGTCTTTCTTCTCCTCTGGGATAAACTCTCTTTTCCTGCGACAGGAAGTCTTAGACTTGAACGGAGCTGCAGAGACTTTGTGGCCTATCATGTCTCTGCTGGCCCCTTGCAAGGTGTCCTCTTCACTGTAGGGCTCAGAGGAGACCACCTCTTGCTTCATTGATTGCATACTATCACTGCGCGCTACTGTCTATATGTGCATAGGTCTTTGTCGGTACACACTTTTATGGAGCAATAATAACTGCCACATTGAATTAATCCACTTCAGTTGCGCAAATCTGTGGAAGACAATGAGAGAGGTTTAGATAACATCGTCAAGATAGAAGAAAAGTTCAAGATAAGTAAAGCGTTTCCATTAAAGTAGGTGCAATGCTTGTATGCATTGACCAACAACATAAGTCGGGCAAATGTTTGGCCGAGCGGGGAGGGGGGGGGGGTGTACTGCCTGGCGTGGGAAAATAACAAAAACTTTTTTTTTAATTACACACCTTTTCAGGTGGGCGGGGGTCATTTCAGGGTGGGGGGCACCCCCATGTTATAATGGTTGGGAAAACACTGGGTGCAATATTAAAATGGGGCCAATGCTTTGTATGTTTCGGTTGAGTCTGAGTTTGGTTCTCGTCTCTTGTTAAACAATAATTAACAGGGAGAAAAAAGGCATGGTACTGGTGGCTGAATGGGACAATATAGAAGGCAACATAGATAAAGAGACGCCGCAGGTTTTTATTCCAACACACCCACAACCACGTCTTTAAGGGAATGCAGGGGTGGCCCCTGGGATTTTTTTTTCAAAAAGTGAGCCAATGTAGAATAATCTATCACACAAATTAGGCTTGGCGCAGTTTGATCTTCAGTTTCAATTTTTCAGTTTTGTGGCAAACCATGTTTGTCCTCCACTTTGCATCGATGTCTGATGAAACCTCAAGCTTTTATAACGACGGCCTTTGGATTGCTCTGAGCAAAATACTAATCTGGTCTGATTAAGAAGGTGGATTCAGTATCGGCACCAACTTCAATTTGGAGTGAAAGGCTGAAACACTGTAGAGATCTCAACGCTCATTGCCCAAGACGGACACATCGCACAAGTTTATATACTGCGAAGATCACATGTCAACTTTTCTGCTTGTCTCACTCCAGTCTGAGAACAGCCGGCCAGCCAGATGACTTTTAAAAAGTCCATGTTAACACAAGGTTCGTATCTGATGGACAAATGGTCATTTATGGGCTAAGTTTGCTTTATAGTGACATGTATATTGTATATTTGTTAAAGACATTTTTTATAGTGTTTTAAACTAATATCTACCCTTAAGTTTGAAATAATTGTTTCAATTGGAATGCTACAAAACGTTTGGCCTCGGGAATTAGGACAGAGAGATTTGGTTTGTCGACAAAAAGTTATTCGTAAAAAGGATTTGGGGTGTGGTTGGATTTCCCAAATGTACATGGGTTGCCTGCTACGTTTCCTGTGGAATAATCTGTGCCTTTGTAAGATTGAATATAATCCTGAAAAAGCTCAATTTCATATATTTGACTCTCCTATTAAGCAATTCTATGAAATTGTTTGAGTTTAATTTTAGCACAATTTTACGACAGATCCACTCCTTGGTTTTATTCATTTATTAAGTGCCCATATTTTGCATAACACTGTCATCATGCATGGATACGAGGGTAGTTTCCAACAAGACCAAATATGACAGCAGGACTAAATTTGGATCACATGTGATTAAAAATGGGCGGTAATATTACCGCCACGTGAGAGCGGAGGAGGTCACCGGAGCTCCAGCCGCAAGACGACCAGCACAGGTTCTATGGCTGCCGGGGGGCACAATACGGTCCATTTGGTGTTCTGGATGCGTGTAGAGGTTCAAAGGGTGTGTAATAAACGCCGAATACGTCTCAGACGTGCCCGCTGTTTGTAACCGGCTGGGAGGAGACCGGTGGCCGTTCACCCCGCTGACATCATCTCCCCCTCCGCACACCGGCGGTGATCTACGCCCTCAAAAGTGAGGACCAACAACCGCGAGAAAGACGTTGCATTAGCTCGTCCACGCGTCTTGCATCAGTAACTTACGTGCTCATAACATCCCCACCTCAGTACGCGAGGTCCCCCTTTACCCCGCACTGGTCCCGGGTATAGGACAGTGTCGCAACCCGTAAACTCCTGGACTCCGAAGGCCTACGGTGCGATACGTGTCGCTTCACCGGCCATTACCCGCTTGTATCCGCACATGGCGCTACGGCCCCGGTCACTGAGCTCCGCTTCACCCCTCAAGCGAACCTCGGCGTGTTATTCCGATGCGAATGAGCTTTGAGGGATGTTGCGGTAAACGTTAGCAAAGCGGAGTCAGGAGCTAAAGTTAGCAATGCGCCGCGGGCATTCCGGGACGTCCCTCCGAACGAAACAACACGCGTAACGTTAAACTGAAGCTGGGACGTTACCGATTCCACCACCCGGTGAGAGGAGCTTCTTCATCCGCGTGCCGCACACAGAGAAGAAGGGACGCTTCCGATCAGCTACTGCAGCTGCCGATGGAGTCCTATACAGCGTGAGGTACCGGCCTCTCCTCCCTCGGCTCATTTCTCTCAAGGTGGCTGCAGCGCCGTGGATGTTATTGGGTCAGCGCAAGTGCATTGGAAGCTCGCAATTTAATGACAGCCACGACAGCCAATCGGGACGAGGCATTTTCCAGTTTAAGTCAATGATCCTTGGCTCCGCAAAGAGCTCAAATTTCATATCAAAAGTATGTCGTCATTGGGCGAACCGCGTGCGGTTGATATGTGCGTCGACTTTACGATACTTTTTCCTTCTCCTGCTAAAACACTCACAGGCACTTTTCTAAACAAGCCTGAAAAGTCATCAATCATGAGCATGGGCGTTTTCTGCTATATCTGCACCGAAGTAATGAAGACTTAAAGTCAGACACGCAGTCAGATATATTGATCAGATTGTTCATCGCTACCATTGAAATATTGTTTCTGCATTGAGTTAGACCAATAGAGAAGATTCTTGGAATTAAATGTGATTTATGAATACACGTGTGCACCTGGCTTCACTAGTACGATCATGATAATGAGTATTATTCAACTATAGATCAAATTTAAAATAATTACAAACACGTTATAGCATGTTGTTTAATCAATTTATATGAAGTGAGTGAGACATATGAATACAAATGTTCCACAAATATTGTCACACCTGTATGTCTAGTTGGGTTTTTGTCCTGTATACGTTTGTTTTCGTGACTTCCTGTTTTATTTTGGCGATTTCAGGTTCCTTGCCTGACCTGTCTGATTGTCTTCCCTGATTCCTGATTGTGTCCACCTGTTCCCTCTTTCCCCATGTGTTCATATCGCCTGCATCTCCCTTTGTCTTCTGCCAGTGTGTCGTCCTACGTCGTCCTACCAGCCAGTGTCCAAGAGCCATAGTTTTACCTCGTTGGAGTGATTTTTCTTTGTAGGTCTTTCTGTTCCAGTGTCAGGTTCCAGTTAGGTTTTGATAAATAGCTTTGTTTTCCTCCTTTTGGAGTGACTTTATTTTTGGACCTACTAGTACTGTGTGTGAATAAACAGTTATCGGATATACATGCTCTGCGTCTGACAAATATGGCAAAATCAGCAGACTGTCTTAACAGAAGAAGAAGGATAATTACAAAAACACAGTGTGTCCAGTGGTACTCCACTGGCTCCCCGTCCCACAACGGATTCAATACAAAATCCTTCTCCTCACTCACAAAGCCCTCCATAATTAAGCCCCCTCCTACGTCAACAACCTGCTCTACCACCACCTTCCATCTCGTTGGCTCCGCTCCTCCTCCCCATAGGACCAAGCACCGGACATGGGGTGACACAGCCTTCTCCATAGCTGCCCCCTCCCTCTGGAACGCTCTCCACAAACTCATCCAAGACTGCACGGACCTCTCCACAAATCAAAAGCCACCTCTTCAGAACTGCTTTAAATGTATGACTATGTGTTCGGTGTGTGGTTGCTATTTGTTTGGTTTGTTTGGTTTTAATCATTTACAGCTTAGCTTTTAGGATATTTTAAAATGTTTTCTGTAAAGTGACTTTGAGCATTTGGAAAAGCGCTATACAAAATAAATGTATTCTTCTTCTTCCCCTTATTATTATTATTATTATCATTATTATTATTATTATTATTACCCATTTTAGTTTCTGCTTGTCACTTTTTTACGTGGGTTTAGTTGGAACCAATAGGGTCAGACAATTCAAAAAAGTTTTGGAAATGCGGGAATCAGCCTACCAAAGCAGAACCTACACAAAGATTCCATGATTACTGTCCACATACTGGGGTAGATGTGTTTTTAGCCTGGTATCTCCAGGTTTTATAGGACCTTAAGGGCTGTTAGTGATTTTATTTCAGGCGATTCACAAAATTCGAACATTTATTAAGTTCTTTCTTTCTTCAGCAGTAACAGATAAACAGATTTTTTCACATCAGAACACTCACAGGGGTTTCCCTTTACTCTGACAAAAAAAGAAAATGGTCCAGATAGACAAGCTAGTTACAGATTTTCTTACACCTTTTATCATAATATGCCATTTTTTAAAGCAGAAAGTGTGTATTTCATGTTCACTAAACATTAAATAATTTCTGGATCAATGTTATTGAACAACTGTGAAGATCAATTTGGGTAAATTTGTATTCTTAGTGGTTTAATAGCACTTTTAAGACAGTCAAGCGCTAGCTGAAATGCTAATATGATATTAATGATAATTAAAGCTGCGAGTAGCGTTGGACGGGTCCTCGCAACCCCACGCGTCGGGGAACCGGCCGGACGGCTAGATACGCAGCCAAGAACCCCTGCGGCCGTCGGACAGAGCGTCCGAGAGTCAGTCGTCGTTAACCGTGTGGAGCGATGCCAAGAATCCTGCTTCGCAAATTTCATCTTTAACATTATTAAGGTCTTAGGCAACTCCCCAGCCAACCTCTGGTCAATTTTAGCTTAGAATTAAAAGGAAACTATCAATAGTTACATAATCATTTCACTTCAGATGGATAGGACCCATCCCCAAGGTGTCACTCAGCGATAACCAGGACATTCTGATGTACCATTCCAAAATTAAAGCCTCTTAAAATACCATACATGAGCCAACTTCCTTCAAAGTCTAATTCACGAGACTACTTCAGGTCAAAATGAGATAACAATTAAAAGGAAACTATCAATACTTACATGATTATTTCACTTCGGAATGATAATACACATCCCTAAGGTGTCACCTTGGGATAAACAGGATATTCTGATTTACTATTCCAAAATTAAAGCCTCTCAAAATACCATAAATGAGCCGATTTCCATCACAAGACTACTTTTGGTCAACTTCAGGTTAGAGCTAAAAGGAAACTATCAATAGTTACATGATCATTTCACTTCAGCCTGATAGTACACACATGATAGTACACTGTGTGTCATGCAGGGATTAGCAAGACATTCCGATCTACAATTCCAAAATTAAAGCCTCTCAAAATACCATAAATGAGCCGATTTCCATCACAAGACTACTTTTGGTCAACTTCAGGTTAGAGCTAAAAGGAAACTATCAATAGTTACATGATCATTTCACTTCAGCCTGATAGTACACACATGATAGTACACTGTGTGTCATGCAGGGATTAGCAAGACATTCCGATCTACAATTCCAAAATTAAAGCCTCTCAAAATACCTTACATGAGCCAATTTCCTTCAAATTCTCCATCACGGAACTACATCTGGTCAATTTCAGATTAGATTGAAAAGGAAACTATCAATAGTAAAACGATCATTTGACTTCAGGCAGATAGAAAACATCCCAAAGATGTCAGGAAGGGTTAAGCAGGACATTCTGATCTACCATTCCAAATTGAAAGCCTCTCAAACTACCATACATGAGCCGATTTGAGAGACTACTTTTGTTCAATTTCAGGTTAGGATTAAAAGGAAACTATCAATAGTTACATGATGATTTCACTTCAGCCTAATAGTATACATCCCCAAGGTGTCACCGAGGGATAAGCAGGACATTCTGATGCACTATTCCAAAATTAAAGCCTCCCAAAATAACATACATGAGCCAAAATATCAATCACAAAACTGGTCAATTTCAGATCAGATTTTAAACGAATAAATCATTACTTAGACAGTATTTCCGCTTCAGACTGAGGTGTCACCTATGGATAAGCAGGACATTCTGATCTACTATTTCAAAATGAAAGCCTCTGAAAATACCATGCATGAGCCAACTTCCTTCAGTATCTTTCACGAGACTACTTTTGGTCTATTTCAGGTCAGAATTAATAGGAAACTATTAATTCTTACGTGATCATTTCACATCGGACTAATAGTATACATCCCCAAGGTGTCACCGATGGATGAGCAGGACATTCTGATGTACTATTCCAAAATGAAGGCCTCTTAAAATGCCATACATGAGCCAAAATATCACTCACAAGACTACATCTGGTCATTTTCAGATTAGATAAAAAAGAAAACAATAAATAGTTACACAGTAATTTCACTTCAGGCGGAGAGTACACATCCCCAAGGTGTCACCCAGGCATAACCAGGACATTATGGTGTACTATTTCAACATAAAAGCCTCTCTAATACCACCTTCGTTATTTACTGGATACTAGAAAATGTGACTTCAAGTTACCAGTAGGTGGCGCTATGACTTGATTCATATCTCTTCAGGCCCAGAGTCTCATCAAACATGTGTAAATTAGAAAGAATCCGATGATGTCCAGTAGAGTTACAACGGTTTAGTTGTTCTTGGCGAAGGATCAGCTTTACCGATGCACCTTCTCGCCACCGATTATAGGATTCTTATCATTTTCACACTGAAGCATTATTAAGGTCTTACCTCTCTGCTAGGAAATTTTGAGAGGGATCAGATTAACCTTTGAGGAGCATAACCTGTGAGGAGCAGGGTGTAAAATAAAAAAACAATCAACTTCCTGTTTTCCCAAGGTGGCGCTATGACTAAGGTTAAAAATAATCTTATGGATGTCTACAGGGTGAGAAGTTCATGCTATATGACAATTATGGAGCAGATTAGATAAAGTATGGTCAAGTTAAAACAAATTCAATTTTCATGCCAAATGGTGGTTTTTCAAAAATGCTCCCTACACACATAGTTTGGAATTTCTTCTGGCAAATTGCAATTCTTAGAGCCTAGGTCCTCAAAATCACACTGCGCGAATTTGAAAAGAATCAGGTTTAATCCCTGGGAGGAGTTCGGTCTTTTACAACTCTAGGAAATCAGGAAAATAGGCCAAAAAGGCAGATTTTCAACGGCTAACTGCAGCGCCCCCTATTCTTCAAATATTCTCAAAAAATCAGGGTGTGTCCAGGGGTTCAATGTTCAAATGTGTCACAAGTTTGGTGAGGGCAGGCCAAATTATTTGGAAGTTATGACTCTTGCAAGATTAAGCCACACCCCTTATGAAGTTCATTAGCCCATATCTTCTCAATACAAGAAGATATTAACACGATGTTGATAGGGCAGGGGTACATTGATCCAATAATGATCCACAGAAAATGGCCAAAAACGTGTTTTTCACAAAATTCAAAATGGCGGAAAATCTCGTTAGGGGCATTTGCATACCATGATTGACTTTTTTGTAGAGCATGTCCAAGCGCACCAGTGTGTCAAATTTCAAGTCGATCGGACATCAGGGGGGGAAACTGGCCTAGTGAGGTAC